CTTTCCTCAAGTTGAAAAGTTCAGACTTCCCCTTGGCTTTTTCAAGGAAAATTTTATGATTTTGAGGTTATCTTTCTATAACAGAGCTTTTGTGGTTTAACCAGTTCTCCTGATGGTTTCTTTTAGGTTGTCTTATCTAACAGAGCTTTGTAGTCTGGTGAGTTCTTCTGATTGTCTGTCTGGTTACATACCTTACTAGCAAGGCCGTATACATCTATATTATAGTGGGCTTTATTTGTAAAGACACATACATTTATGTTTTCTGTCAATTGGTTGATATTCATCAGTTCATTAAGCATACATGCTCATCCTGGAAGTTCAAAGGTTTTAGTCTTGTCCTTTGTTCCTGTTGAGATCCTCTAATTACTGAGATTTATGGTAGTTTTTTACAAGGCCTGGTGAATAGTGTCGTATATTTTTGAAGACCCCCTTGTCTTAGTCTTGTCACTTACTAAGATGCATGACTCCTCTGCATAAACAGTGTCATGTACTTGTATAAACACTCTCTTCCTTATCTTATCATTGTTTAGGTCTGTGGTATCTTGTACCAGCCCAGGTAAATAGTACTGTATTTTTTTAAAGACACTCTCATAATCCTCTCAGTTTTCATCAGGAAAACATGTCTTTGGCAAAACTTTTTTGAGAGGAAAAAACCCCCACATACGGCAACAAGAGGCTGTCTCAAGTATAAGCATATTAAACATTACTCTAAAGTCAATACATGGCGTGCCCTGCAAGAGGTATAGTGGCCACACTTCTCTTTATGCAGCCCGGGACAGGATTGGCATTCTGGGCTGCAAGCACACGTTGCCAGCTCACGTTCAATTTAACATCCACTGCTATCCCAGAGTCCTCCTCCTCAGGGCTGCTCTCCCTACTCATGGGACTGCCCCAGCCCAAGTGGGCACTTGGTCTTGTTGAACTCCATGAGGTTTGCATGGGCCCACCTCTCCAGCCTGTCAAGGTCCCTCTGGATGGCCTCCCTTCCCTCCAGCACGTCCACCGCACCGCAAGCTTGGTGTCATTGGCAAAGTCGCTGAGCAAGCGCTCAATCCCACTGTCTGTGTCACTGATGAAGATATTAAATAGTTTCAGTCCCAGCGGGACAAAGCAATCAGCTTTGGGAACTCAGGCAAGGCAAACTTTGACAGGCAAAACACGTCTCATTTTTTTCAAATGACAAGTGAAGGCCAAAGGACTGGAGGGAAGGAATGCAGGAAGAGTGGAGTATCTGGAACTCTGAAAACCTTGTGGTGGGGTTTTCAACAGAGCACAACAGGATCAGGCATCCATATTTGATTAGATCCTTTGAAAATCCCAGCCTAGATAAAACGCATTATAGAAACGATCTGCAAAATAAGAGCTGTTCCAGCAGCTTTTCTTCTTCCCATTACTCCCCAGATGTTTTCCTTATTTTCTGGTATTCAGAAAGGAACATAGTTTGGGATGACACAGCTTGAAAAGTTGTAAGTTTTCCTTAATTGTGCAAATATGTCATGATCTGAAAGGCACTCCAATTTACCTGAAGGACTGAACTGGGGAACGGCCTTACCTGGTATTTGGCCCCTATAGACCCTCACAGGATAAGACACGGTGATGCCCTATTGCTGTGGCAGATCTGTGTAGGCTGGTCCTTACACTGACCTGCATTCCTCACTGATTCCAGGAGCCTCTGTGAGATGCTTCCAATGTTGTTCTCTGTACATACTGAGTCCTGTTAGATCAAATGGGCCCTAATGGTGTTTCATCTCCTGCTAGTATTGAAATTGCAGTCTTTTGGGGGGACTTATATCCCCCCAAAATAGAATTGAGTTGTTGTTCCCCCCCTCTCCAAAAAAAAAAAAGAACCACAAAAGACATTTTTTTATCCTTTATTTCTCAAATTTTCACTCCTATTTATCTAGTTGCAACAATAATTAATATCACAGAATTAATGAGAGGGGCAACCAGAAAGGGGAATAAATGGCATGTGACTGAAGGTGCTTACTTTTTGTCATTTGGGTAGGAACTGGTTGGCACTCAAGATGTCCATGCAGAAGCAACATGCATGTAACCACAGGAAGACCCAGAAACGGGTGAGTTCAGTTCAAATATTCAGACTGTACCTACAATATTTCTGTTAACGAGAGTTCTAGAACAATGGATTGACAAGTTTGAGGAACAGATTTATGCTTCACAGAAGAAGTTAGCAAGAACAGTACCAAGGACCCCTTGCTGAACAAAGAGAATTTATGTTAAACCAAGAAGCGAGTTTGTTGGGTTAGTCTTGCTTTTAGTAGGGAACTTCTTTATAAATCTCATTAGCAGATATTTTGGTCTACAGGTAAAATTACTTCTTAATGCCACAAGGGGGACTCCCTCATCTGCACTGGTCTGGAGCTGCTCTGAGCCCCAACAGCTGAACCCGCAGGAGGGGCCTCAAGACCCTGGCAAGTCTCGTGATTCCTTCCTTTTTCCAGCTCCACAGTTTAGCTGGGTGCTACAAAGAGCATTGATGTTTTCAATGTCTGATATCAGAGGAAAATTGTAGGTATTAACAGCAGCTAGCCTTACACGCTGAAACATTACCATAAATATTGTTCAAGCAACCCTGTTTCAGCTGCTCTGAGAGATTCACAGAAGAAAATGAGTGACTGTTCTCTTCATCAGTGAGTATCCAAGTCAATAATCATAGATCTTTATTTCTCTCAGACCACAATAAATGGAAGGTAATCCTATTTTAATCTGCAGTCTTTGCTTCTGCCCAGTTGAAGAACAGTGAGTCATTACTGACTGCAGGGGAGTTGCCACTGGTTTAAGCGGGTAACACAAAGGGCTGAATCTGGTTTCCTACTTACATCCAATGTTCAGATATTATGCAAGTTGCATATCTCCTTCAAAACAGAAACATCTTGACATTTTTGTCAGAAAGGGCTTACAAAGCATGAATTCCACAACACAATAAATAAACTTCACTAGTCATAAACTGTTTAGGTAGTTCATACCATGTTTCACTTAATCCCATTGTTGCAGGGCTCTTCTAGATCCTCCATGATCAAATCCTGCTGATTATTCACCCAATTTCCTTTCTTAACTGTCTTCACCTCCTCCTTAGCATTTTGACAAGCTTGATCCTGGGGTGCCTGGTAGTTGGCAGCTGGCAAAATGGCATTGCTTTGGCCTCGCTGAGAACAGACCTCCCTGTGACCGATCTGTCTGGAGCAGAGCTGAAGTTTAAAGGCGGCCTGAAAGCCTCGGCGAAAGTTTTCGTTAAAGAAACCATAGATGATGGGGTTGACACTGCTGTTGAAAAAGGCCAGCCAGTGAGCAAAGGGATAGATATAAATGTTGATGATCTGCAACTGGATATCTGAAAGGTTGGCATAGTCTGAGAGCATCATCAGAGTCCACAAGGGAAGCCAGGACAGGGTGAAAAGCAAAGCCACGATAATGAGCATTTTGATGACTTTTTGTTTCTTCTTCGATACACTGTGCCGCTGCTCCCGGCTGTGTTTTCCCACCACAGGCACTGCTGTGTTGAAGAGAGCAATGCTTACCCTGGCATACATGATAATAATGAGCGACAGGGGAGCCAGATAGATATTGGCAAACAGAACCGTTGTGTAGATCTTTCTCATTCCCGGGTTAGGCCAGTCCTCCCGGCACCAGTACACGGGGCGGGTTGCATTGCCATAGCCAAGGATCACCCTGAAATGCTTCTCTTCTCGCACCTGCAGCATGACTGCAGAAGGACACATGATTGCCACGGCCAGAATCCAGATGACTGCTATAATGGTGACTGCAGTTGAAACAGTCAACTTCTGCTTAAATGGATAAACAATGCATCGAAACCTGTGACACCCAGGGACATATGAGGAGAGAAGCCATTTAAGGAATGCTTGATCAAACAGGCAAGTATATACACACATTTGAAATTGTATGTTTTGTAAAAAGGATGGATGGCATCATTTCCTCATGCTGCATAAACCGGTGGAGTTGCTCAGTTTAAGAGCGGTGTTGGTAAAAACAATCTTAAAAAAACCCTCACATTTGCTGCTAAAATTTCCTCATTTTGATGTGTCAGCCTGCTGCTTCTGCTACTTCATTTAACCAAAGCAGGCACTAGCGCCTCTGCTATCTAGCTTAATAGCTAAGGAACAAACCAATTCTAGGCAGCCAGATGTGGCCCAGCTGTACCATCTTTAAGAGATACCAGTGGAAGAGCAAATTGCTATGGCCACTCTTGAGACCCAGCCATGTTTTGTTTCGCTTAATAGCCTGAAGATCAAAATACATCTAATTTATTGCAGTGTTATGTGGATTAATGAATCGGCCTCAGCATGGTCATGTGGCCAGAGGGAGCTGAAAGTGACAATTTACAGTCTCTGCATCATCTTACCTGTCCACAGCAATAGCAACTAGAGTGAAGACAGAGGCAGAAACAGAGATTCCTTGGACCATGCCGCTCATCTTGCAAACTAGGCTCCCAAATGGCCAACCTGGAAGGAAACAAGCAATTGAAATTGTCACTGTCTCACTGCAGTACTATGCTTATACGCGTAAGAGGAAATTTCCACCCCAGAACTAATAGATTTTCTTTGCTTTGTCAGGCTGTAGCAGGGGTTAGGGAGGCAGAGGTTATGTAAACAAATGCTTTGCCAAATGCTTTGGGTGAGTTTCTCATGTTCCAAGAAACAGCAAGGGGAACATTTGTGACTTAATATCCTGTTAAAATGAGGTCTCAAGACAGGAAAGGGAACCAACCGCTACAGTTCATTGCTCTGCATCTGGCTCATAGCATCTGCCAAGTTTTCCTAAACATATGACTAGGTAGTGGGAGAGTGCTTTCCTAAAGACAAGGGATGTGGAAGTCAGCAAGGACAGCCCCAGTCAGAAGGTGGGTTAGAGGCTTATCTTCCTCATCTCTGACTTCCAGGGACTTGAAACGCCTATAGAGCCCGCTCAGAAGTAGGCACCTGGCTCTCAGAGCCCCTAGGGAGGCCAGCACTCAGAAATGCAGGTGAGTCCCCCTTGAGCTCTTTCTGCCACGTGGTGCGAACCAGCCTACCTGCAATGATGTTGTCCAGGAGGGTGGTGGGCATGCAGAAGATTCCCACCAGTAAATCGCTGACAGCCAGGTTTAAGATGAAAAAGTTTGTAACTGTACGCATATGTTTGCTCCTCAGGACAATAAAGCAAACCACTCCATTGCCAACCATACAGAGCAGGAAGATGAGGAGGTAGGAGATGATGAAGACAGCTGCCACTGAAGGCTGATGAAGGTAGAAGTCCACATAGGAGACGTTGCCTTCAAAGTAGAAGTACTTGTATGTCCCGTTATAATTCAGCGTGTGAGGCCAATCGAATGTAGAGTTTGAGTCCATTTTCTTACTCGTGTTGTAATGTGCCTTAAAAGATAATTTTTAAAAGTTTGGTTTAGTATGCTTGAAATTGATCTGAAGACATGTGACTAGTTTGGATATACTGTGTGCTGAAATATGTGCAAAGCTTAGGTATACTCATCCCTCCATGGCTTATTTAACAGTTCATGTTCTGAGCCCCGCCAGGTAGGAAAAGCAACAAATATTATTAGTTTGATTTTGCAACACAGGTGTACAAATGTGACCAGTAAGAAAGACTACTGAAGGTTTTCTTCCTTCTGCAGGCTCTATAAATTAAGTTCTTCCCTTCCCAAAGGAGAGGAAAGCCAGACAGGACATAAATTGGCCTATTGTGCTGTCTCAATTAAACAGACCCAACAACCTGTACAGTTTCTTTTGAGAAAATAAAATAATTAGGATTCTTGAGAAATCCGTTTACTCATGAGCTTAAGTAATCTGGCACTTAGGCAACAGTGAGATTGCTGAGCCATGAAAAACAGTCATTAAATTACAGCTTTCTGAAGTGGCACAGACCTTCTGCCTGAATGCATCCAAATCCAATCACGTTTCATTGAAAATGAAAAATTTTTGTGTACAGCTGGTATTAGACCACAGTTGACTTGACTTCCCTGCTTACAAGCTATGTGGATCAGGAGATGAGTTTGCAAACGTGAAGGATTTCACTGTGTTTAAAACATGCTGAAGTACAAGACAGCTGGATTCATTTCCCAGCTCTGCTACTGAATTCCCGTGTGATCTCAGGGAACTTGTAATCTCTCCGTGTTGTGGTTTTCCTGCTCTAAAATATGAGTAATACTTTTCCCACGTGGTTCATTCACACTGTAAAGTAAATTCTCCCATTTTGTATTTTATTAGATTACTGTTGGCAAAAACTACAAACTTTTTCCAAGAGAGACTTCTTTCAAGTCTGAACTTTCTTGATGTTGTATCATCTCGGTTTCAAGCTACAAGCCTCTATGCCTGCTGTGTTGTAGTAGCAACACTTTTGCTGGTGTGAAGGCTTGAACAGAAGGGATGCAAGACTTTTGATTCGACAGCTTGATGGAGCTGAAGGAATCCTTTTAAGTCAGGTACAGAATTTGTACACCCCAAACTTACTTACTTCCAAATTTAACTGATTGAGATTAATTTTGTAGGCCACAATCTGTTTTCTTGCCCTCTAGAACCTGTAGTTGTACAAGACCCTGCAGCAAAATTCTAAATCAAATCTTAACCATGACAAACTTCTGCCGTGTCTGTAACACAGCTCGCACAGAAATGGCATTAGTCTCCATAACCAGCCAACACTGGCATCTTGACACTTACAGCCAACACCAGAGAACTTGACTTGGAAGCAGCATTCAAAAGGTTTTTTTGATGTTTACTTTACTAGATGGAGATGTCTAAAGCAGCAGGGGGATGGAGCTGTTCCAGCTCAAAATAACAGGAAGATTAATTCGGGGCAGAAGCCATAAAATCAATGTGTGGATGCAGGTGCCTTTAGGACACTTACAAATTCCTCAGTATAAATGGAATTTAAATTAAGGCACGAGTACCCAAATCCTGATGAGCTTGTATGTAAGGGAAGGAAAGTGCTGGCTACACCTCTTCCCTTGTGAAGGGAAACTCAGAGCGGGCCCTTTTTTGTGTGGCATAAGGTTTCAGCTGCCTCCCCAGGTATCTGATGATGAGACATGGGCTGTTTTTCCCCTGTCTGCAGAGTAACAATGGAAGGTGGCCGACCCCCTGTTGTCACTCTGTGTAGGGCAGCCCTCTCCCCAGGAAAAGAAAATGAGTGTTAGCTACCAATGCTAAAAGGGCAGGCAGCTTTTCTTCATTCTTCTTGCTTGGTTTTATCTGAAGGGGTTTTTAATTTACCTTCTGTCTCTGCCTGCCCTTCCCTGATACATTTCCTCACACTCAATTCTCAGGAAAGCATTGCAGCTTTTCTCTGTTTTGCTTGTCAATGAAATGCAGTAACATCGAAGCCTCTGCGAGTGTTTTACTTCCAGGTAGCAAGTGTAGCAAGAAAATATTTATTCTAATGTGCCTCAGGTTTGGAACAGGCAGAGTAGTGGGAAAAAAACCATCGTGTTCTTGTGTCTTCTGCCTTTTCAGAAGTCAGCAGCAGTACAGTGTTTGGGATGGGTCTTTATTTTTACATGTTCATTAAAATGTCCCCACAGTAAGGTAGGTAGACAAGAACCTGAAATCTCTCACCAAAAACGGGTGTTTTAACAAAGCAGCTGTGTTTTAACAAAACCTGGCTGTAATAATTTTATGTTCCCTTCTGCTATCCTTATGGAAGAAACTGTTTGTTTGTCTTCATTGGTTTTATTCAACATAGTTTCAAAATGATTGAAAATATTTTTATTCCAATGTTTTACATGCCAAGTGCTTTAACTAGCCAGAGACCAGAGTCATCTGCTGTGGAAAATATCTTAATGCCAATAGAGGAGCATTGCTCCTCTGGGCCAGACTCGAGAAGGAATATGTATGGTTCAGGCTTTATTGCTGCTTTGCACCTTATATACACAAGCGTTCACGGGGCACAGCGGTCTTTGCTGGCCTTTTCACAACTGTAAATTGTTACTCAGGTCATTACTAACATGAGGCTTTGGACTCAGGAGCACAAACCCCTGTGGGTCATTCCTGTGCCAGGGCAATATCTTAGTGAATCAATGACTTACCATTCTGTTCATTTAGACACCTGCAATGATACCTTCTCACACTGACAGCAGGAGGAATAATTTTATAATTATTTTTGGATAAGTATCTTGGATTTTCTCTCTTTTTCTGACAATGTTTTGTAAAGCAACAGCTTTCAGTCTTTTCAGTAATGAACTCTGGAACAGTCTTTGTCCATAACTGATAAACAAGAAGTTGCAAACAGCCTTGAGGCAAAATTGGAGCCGGGTCTGTTTGTCTTACATAGTCTGATCACAGCTGATCTAATGAAATTTCATCACTGTGGCTGTAGCAGACACAGTGAATTTTGCAAATACCATAGCTTACAGGGAATGGAAAAGGGACACAGATTTTTACTCTGTTGAAGCTGAGGTGGCAAAGGATCGGCAGAAACGAAGGCAGCACCTTGAGTTTCCACAAGGTACATGCCAACTGAAACAGACAGTGGTAAATAATCGAGGGAGGCACAGAAGACAGAAACGTAAGTCACCCAAGAAAAGGGTAAAAATAATGCCAGGCATAAATGTTACAAGATGATAAATAAAAGTAAATGGCTTCCATATGATAATTTATTAAGGGCATGACCTCCCTAATTCACTTAATATACCAGAGGAAAATTCACAAAGAAGTAAAGCAAGAGGCTCCACGAGTGAAAAGCTGCCCAGTCCCCCACACTGGGATTTTAAACACACAAGGCTCATACACTGCTGAAACCCCAGGAACAGCACCCGTCTACAAATACACAGTATAAAGTCTCACAGTGTAACCAGGACAATCTCATGCCGCTGGACAGGGAAAATCAATTTTCCTTTTTTACAATAACAGTTCAAGGTAATTATGAAGTAAACGGATTTATTTTTATGTTGCCCACAGGGACGAAATCTAGTAACCACTGGAGCCGGCCAACACTGCTTCATCTTTGTGCACACCCACCTGTTTTCATTACCTTGGGTTTTGTGTGTGTGAAATCCCATCACAGAATCCTCAGAGGCTTTAGAAGCTGAAAAGAATATAAGGAACCTTCAGAGACATGAAGAACATTGTCGTGGAAGAAGAAAATTTAATGCGTAAGTGCTAAAACATTTGTTCTTCCCTTCTCTTATACTTAGTAATGGATCATCTACAGACATTTCCTGGAGACCTTGGAAAATGGTAGCATCTCCAGCCTGCTGAAAAGGAAGAAAATCCAGCTTGCAAAATGCAGCCACTGAGGGATGGCAAAAATAGCAGTACCTCATTTTGTAAGTGTACTAGAAATAAGGAAAAGACAAATGCAGGGATTATCCTGTGACTCAGTGGATCAGAAAAAGCTATTGACCAAGACAAACAAATTGTTCTTGCCTAGACAAAAAAGCAAAAAGATCAACTGTGAACATTCCAACTCATTTAATCTAAAAAGGTAAAATGCGGCACTATGTCCTCCCTTTTTGCTGTAAGTTTCAGAAATACTTTATCACAGCATCACACATTGCAGTAGGTTCGATGGGAAGGACGTATGGCTGCAGGTCATTGCCCACAGGTTTCATCTTTACTTTTTCTTCCAGAGGAAGAGTGAGGCTGCCGCACCAGCCCAACACCAAGTTCCAGACTGAGGCTCAAGGACCTGAGAGGCAGCAGTGCAGGAACTGTCACTGACAGCCTGGAGCACCTGGGGTCACCAAGGGAAATGCCACAGGCAGGACAGCCTTTTTCCCCAGGCCAGATTTCATTGGAGTGCCACGAACTTCTTGGAAATTGATTTAAGGTATGTGTTAACTGCACATGGCAGTTTCCCATATGAGCAGAAGTGGTCAGTCTGTGTAACGCCAGACTTGAACTGCAAAGTATAAACTCTGAGGACATACATGAATTAAGGTAGTAGAACTTACTCCTGAAGTGTTTTGTTGTTGGGTTTTTTGTTGTTTTTTTTCATTTGGGTTTGTTTTTTTTTTTTTTTTTTTTTTTTGGGTTTTTTTTTTTTTTTTTTTTTTTTACTTTTTCATACATCAGAATTCCCATGATATTTTATAGGAGATACCTCACAGAGTCTTATCTCACAATAAGCACCAAATATCACATGGAAATGGGAGGCTTTCAGTTGGGAACAAGCTGCTCAGAAAGAAAAGCCACACTGAAACCAGCAAGTTGCATTACAAAATATTTTTTCTTGCTGACATTTACTTCCATGAAGAAAAACAACGAGAAGCAAATTTTTCATTTTTAAACAGGCCATCCCAGGGAGACATACCAATCTTGACGTTGCACGCAGAGCTCTTATGGACTTAAACTGTTTTTCCTCCCCTGACAGTCATTGATCTGTGTAGTCTGAGCTGGGACCAAAGAAAATACTTTG